CATTTTCCAATAATCTTTTCGTTAAATGTCATATAAATTATGTGGGGCAGCGGGCATCTAACAAGAAAATTTTATATTCCCTGAAAATTAGGTATTGAAAAATCTTATCAATATCCATATTTTTAGGATTTGGTTGTAAAAAATGCTCTGAATATTTTAAACTGCTATTAATAAAACAGTAATAAGTATGGTTTGAATTATAAGTTAAATATTTAATGCATAATACTACCTAAAAATAAGTTTTCACGCGTCACAAGCATAATAATAATCGGGTTCAATGTAAGGACTATTATATATACCGTTAATGCGCATGTGTGACACTATGACGGAAGTGAAGAAAGATAATACATTAAGTTTCAACTTTGGTCGTTTCGATACGATATTTTTTATTTAAAAATGTGAGAAGTGGTAAATTATACTACTTTTTGTGTCTATGTCATACATTTTTCGATATTCATAGATACAAATAAGTGGTTTGCCAGCACATCTTTATAACGTCTGGTTTCTGATCACAAGAAAAGCTCGGCTCCGTCTACATAAGATGCAAGTTGTTAATCATGTTTTTATCCACATACAAATAGATAAAATCTACGTAGGCGGAGATGAATATGTTCAGTATTTCCACTTTGCAATGTCTGATTGTTTAAAACACTCTATTTATAGGCGATCGCGAGCTTGGAAGGCAGAAATCGTCTCTATATGAGTGAACAATTCTCGAGAGGGACGTTAAACAATATACAATCAATCAATCAATCTGCTTAATCAACAGTTATTACATTAACTTCCCTATCAATTTGTTAAGTAGCTTATCTTACCTCTATATTAAGCGTATATGGAATTTTTAAAAATCTGGCGAATGTTTCTACTGTAATATACGAAGAACAATCTCCAGCCTTCGGACATTTTATAGTAGATGTTGTACATGTCCCGGCAACGCACTGAAGACATTCCAAGCAATACGAATCTTTGCAGTTTTCAAAAGTTGCAATAGCCTAAGAAATGATAAAAAGCAATTAATTTAGCAAAAGTTATTTTTGAAATGGTATTTTAACTGAAAAATTGATAAAACAAATGGTTTGATGATTTTCTAAAGGAATATTTTTATATATTCATTCAACAAGTCGCCTGCATAACGTATTTGGTAAGAGGTCTGATTTAAAGTCGCGAAGTTGATCCTTGCGTCGTTGGTACGAATCCCACTGTGGGACGTGAAGACATGTCCTTAGGAGAAGACCGTATAAACCGAGGTCCAATGTCGCAGATATCACTGGCACGGAAAAAGATCCCTTACTGCTCAATGGCCCTGAGTACCGAATATAGAACAAAATGTGTAGCTATCCACCGGCAAGTGGTGGCGTCTCCATATCAGTGAAAAATTCTAGAGTGCGACGCTAAATAACACACAAGCCATTCTACTAAGAAATATTTTATATATGCAATGTCAACTCTCCCTCTCTCTCTCTAAGATTTGTCTAGGATAGGCAAAGCATGATTTTAAAGCGTAGTGATGCAATCAAAGACTTACAGTTTTATTGCAAATTTCACATTTGACTCGATGGGTGTATGGTCTATGAATCTGAAACAAATATATACAGTGTATTTGATCATAAATACTCAATGTGCGTGTTTTAATAAATGAACTATGAAATCAATTTTACTTACACATATTGAATGATTGCTTTCTATTTTTGATTCTTTTTATTAAAATTCACCTTTACTAGAGAGCTTTGCACAGCCTGAACAGTCTCTTGTTCCATTTTTGTGATGGATTTTGTTAAAGCTTCATTTCTGGGTGTACTTTGATTTGAATTTCTGTTGTAAGTACTGCTTCCTTAATAATGCAAATAAAATAGAAGGAGTTTAATAGCACAAAGAATTGGCCTGACTTGGCTTGTATCTATACAAATATGAGATTTTTTTCCCCAGAAGATGATACGCTCATAAGGACCAACATGTGCAGTTAAACTTTTAATGTTCATTTCATAGTAGTTGATTCTTGTATAGCAAATGCAAATCATTGAAAGCATTTTTTTTCCTTTCAAAAGAATAAATTTAATGTATTTTATGCAAAAGGTGTAGCCAAACCTAATATTTATCTCATATACACTGTATGAATGTAGGATGTACATTCCTGTTTCGTAATAAAAGCGTATCAACCATTACACAATGGAATCAGGAATATTAGTATAAACTACCTGGTTCAGTCTCTATCGATATCCGAATCTGTTTACTTTTACCGATCCCTGCCGTACTTTGTACACAGAGTCTGTAAAGTCCTTCATCTTGCTTTGTTATTTTATTTATCCTCAATTTGGTTTCGGTGACGTCATATTTTCCAGGCAATTTCGGTAGATTTAATCCATCCCTCTGCCATATTCTCTTTTTAATTGGCCAAGATGATTCTATAAGTCCGTTCAATTCGACAGTGTGTTTCTCCGCTGTTTGTGTGAGGGAAACTTTAGGATTTTCTAAAAAAAAATACAAAAATGTATGAAATATCATTTAACTTTTCTTAAAATGGGAATATTCGTTTGATGTTTAACGTTCTAGATGAAAAAAAAAATATAAATAAATCACCGCCGGAGAAATTAAACGTGATTGCTTGACTGGAGTTGGTCCCAGCTCTGTTCTCTACAACAGCCCTGTATACACCTTCATCATCTTGTGTAACATCGTTTACATACAAGTGTATATTCGTTGCCACCTTTTTCTATCCTGTATTTGCATAACCTTCTCTGGTCAATAAATTTGTCGTTAGCTAGCCACCGGACATCTTTAAGTGGTGATTAGGAATGGATAGTCGTCACAAATTTCAATTTTTGTTCTTTTCAAGACAAACATTTCCATGGTTACTTCGGTGGCTTTTAAAGAAAATGTATGTTTTATTAATATTTTGTTACATACCTTTTGGTCAGTGTATTCATCTCATAATATCAACATTATGAAGTATATACAAGTTTCATAAATTGCATATGCCAGGAAATATAATTATACCTTATATAAACTACCACATCTACCGGTAATCAAACTACAATATTATGATGATTTGTATATAAATTACCAGTATGATACTTATTTATTATTTTTATGGAATTTATCAGACGTGTTACACTGTACTTTTGAATATATCACAAGAGAAACCACGCTTACCGTCTGGGATTTTTAAATCAATCTCCGAACTTTCGACCCGCCATGCTACACTTTCTGCAATAAATTTGTATCTTCCTATATCTTTCGCTGTATAGTTTTTGATAACAAGGGTCCGACGAGTACTGTCAAAAACTTCTGTCATATTTTGAAAAATTATAAGATCAATTCCATCTTTTTGCCATTTTGATATCAGGAGAGGCCACTTTGGAATCAATCTCTGCCACCACAGTAAAGCACTTTTCATGAATATTATGGACGAATGAGAGTAATAATTTTGGTGGATCTGAAAACAATAACTTACAATTTTGATAATGACAAAGGCATGTTCAATGCATCTCATTGCAGTCTAAAACATTTTTTACCAAATAAATATCTCAAAACTAGATACTTTTTAACAAAATGACATATGAGATTATCAAACAGAAAGACTTGAGAGGTTTAAAGGTTTGAAATGTGGATGAACTGAAAGAACCGTCATAACGAAAGCGATAGCATGCTTGTCATACGGTGGAAGAAAAAAACTAATTCAAAAGGTCATTATAAAACTAAGGAAAACCAAAGTCAATAAAGAGAAGGAAAGTAAAATATTGATGAAATATATTGAGATTTTACAGCAACTGAGAAATAACTTTTGGATCAACCCTTGGTCGAGCGCTGTTCGGAAATCTTGTGTATATGTTTCTTTCGATTGAACGTCTTTTCGGTGAAGATTTGCATATACGTTTGGACAAATATTACAGATTAAGAATTCATAAAAGCAAGATACAATTTACAAAAATTAAATTTAAATGTGTCTAGGGTAGGGGTACCCGGGGCAGTCACGAAATCAGAAAAATGTAACACCAAGATACAACCCCCTGTGGATCAAAAATAGGAGCAAAAATGATTCAACTTATATTATTTTTCAATTTTTTTTTGTCATCATAATGTGCAAGTTCGTTGAAATTCTGATAAGGAATATGGATATCAGTAAAAAAAAAATTAGCACGATAAAGAAATATGATTATGACTACAAAGTAGAATTTTACGTTAAGCCAGAGTCGTTTTACATGCGAAAACATCTGCGGCTGAAGTGACTTTGAAATGACATAGCGATGCTGCTCCAGGTCGATAGACATATGCATGTTTATTATTTTTCACCGGAACTTATCTAATCATCCTATAAATCAAAAATTTTGTTTAATTATTTTATTTGTTTTTTATATAAACTGTTGACAAGTTTAACTGAATTTACCTCTGTCCTTTATGGAGTAAAAGTAAATGTCTCAATAATTTCAGAACAGTCCTTGTATAATGCTCTTTTTTTGACAAGAAAGAATTTTGATTGTAAAGCTCTCATCATTAAGTAACATAAAGTTATTTAACATTATCAAACCTTTCATTACATCAATACCTGTGTGAGAACTCTTTGCACAAGTTCTTTTGGAAGAGCACTCCATTCTCTTACATTATAACAGGTAAAAATTAGAACAATTTGAAATAAACAAGTCATACCTTTTGGAATTCGAAAGACTTTAGTCTCGCTTATTCCTGGTCCATATTCATTTTCAATTGAAACTGTGTACATTCCTTCGTCAGCTTTTCCAACATCAAATATTGTCAGACTTGGTTTAGTCATGGGATGTCGGCTTTCCAAATACTTTTGAGGTTGTTTGTTCAAACATATCTGCTTTCCATCCTTCATCCACTTGGGTGCTTTGGTTTTGAGATTAGACACAATCTCTGTACAAAGAAGCAAGGAATGGTTCTTTTCATTGAAGATAAGTGACAAAGACACACTCGGGACAACTGTAAATAAATGTAAAACTAATTCAGAAAAAATAAAGTTTTTAAAATAACACATATTTTCAAAATATTAAGCAAATTAAGGAGCTGTGTACTAATTCAAGTTCTCATATTTTACAATAGTTATTACATAAGTTTATGAACAGCTGACCAATTTCAACTAAGAACTAATATATACTTTGACTATGTACTCAATTTAATATAAAAACATCTTGGACATTTCATTAAAATGGATGCACTTTTCTCTTTGCCTCCGAGAGTTTCCACCTCACATGAGTATGAACCTTCGTCTTGTTTCCGAAAGTCGTTTATACTTAGCATCCTCTGGCTTTCTTGGTCCAAAATTTTATTTTCAATGATTTTTTTCCCGACATCAGACAGATTAATTTTTCTTCCATTTTTAAGCCAGTGAACACGTTCAATGGGCCATTTTGTGATTATATCTACAATTATAATCCCTCGTTGGTGATTATCGCCAAATTTCTGTCCTAATCGACACTGATGGAGAAGCTGCCCAAATATAGAGGATATTATACCAGAAAAGAAGCTATTTATAATGAATCTGATTTTTAAAAAAAATGTGTTATATAGAGATGATAAATCAATAAATCAACCACACCTTTCTCAACACAGAATTCAACACAGTTACTTGATGCTTTGTAATAAGCATTTTTGGCAGTGAGTGTATATTTCCCTTCGTCTTCTTTTCCAATATTAGATATTTTTAATTGTGGTGTATTTGTTAAAGTTCCCTTTTCTTCATATTTTTTCCCGTCGTTCATTTTTAATGGTTTGTCATCCTTCATCCACTCATGCATATTGATATTAGATTTTGTTTCTATTTCAGCATTCAACAACAAGATGCGATTCTTTTTGTCGATGGACATTTCCACTGAGATATTTGGTTTATCTACATTAAAGCACGTGCACAAAGAATCACTTATCATATCGCATTCAAGGAAGGAAAAAAAAATATTATACCTCATTATAATTTTTCTAAACAACGCGTTATCTGATTGGATCTAGATTATCACGTGATCAGGCCATAAAACTTCATATTTCACCTAAAGCCCTCGGGGAATATGAATTTTCTTGGCTGAATAAATCTTCATATTTCCCTCACTATCATGCAATAAATGTATACTATTAATTCATTTAAAAAATAGCTATTCTGCAATTATGTGGTTCATGTACTGCATATATTCTTACATTACTCTGACACTTATGCTACTGTATCCCATCACATCCCTAAGAACCTGATATAAACAAGCTTAATCGTATGCTTGGTATGAAATCCAACTCCCACAAATTGCTTCATAATATACCACCCGCATTCCATTGAACAATGCAGATTATTTTCTACGTAAAATGGTAAAAAAAATAATATAAAGATAAAAAAAAAATGTAATATGTTATTTGTCCTTATTCTATTATTTTTTTCACTTACCCCTTTGCTCAATTCTCTGGTCACTGGGATCTAAATTTGTCTGAAACATAGAAAAAACACAATTTTTAAAAAAATTACTCTCAGTAGAAACTTTGAAAATAAAAAAATAAAATGAAAAAGTCCCTTTACATAAAAATGAAAACAACACCTCATTTTTCAATGTCCTTTTCAAGAATCCTTGAAAAACTGCAATTGGAACGCGACACATGCAGTATGTCACATCACAGACATGATACTCTTTATCTCTTCGTTCAGATATATCCTTCATGCAATCAGAGCAGTATCCATGTGAACAATGCATGCAGGTGGCGAAAGCCTATTGACACAGAATAAGAAAAACAAACTAGAGCCGAGCTCGTTGCAAAGCAACGAGTAGGTCTTCCGTCCTGTTTGACCGGAAGTAGATTTTATTTATAACAAAAATTCGAAATAACGCCCAAAATAGCTTAAATCCTCTAAAAGGATGTTAATTTATGCAAAAATTTTTAGGTACTTCTGGTCTGACCGGAAGTGACGACGACGGACAGAAAATTAATTTTTATGCCCCCAGAGACATTTGTAACCCCAAAACTTGTCATGAACGTCAAATATACGTATTTTCAGAGTACTTCCGGTTTGGCCGGAAGTGACGTCGCCGGACACATTTAGACGACGCTAGTAGATTGAGCTTGATATTTTGAACAACTTTGCTTCTTTGAGGTATTACAAATTCTTTATAGACATTGAGATAGAAAGAAAAAAGTTTTGGCCCCACTAGGCCCCTTATTTTAGGGGCCAGTCCTTTTTTCGAGATATCATTTGAAAGATCTTGAAATTCTGCACTTCTTTTACTCAATATGTCTTAACAAAATATATCTAGGTAAAAAGATATCTTCGAAAAAGTGTTGCAAATTTTGAAATTCGTGATACGTCTATTTTTGGGACATAGCGAGCGCCGACATGCGGCACTTCCGATTAAAATGAAATACGTTATACATATCTACAGACTTTGGTCTATCATACCTGAAAGTTTCATGTTTCTATCTTGAGCCATTATTGAGAAAGTCTGCGGACAAACTGACCCTTCAAAAATCATAAAATTGGCAACATCTCCAAACCGGAAGTGACGTCATCAAATCGGAAAAAACGCATAAGGTTCAAGTAATGTAACATAAGTCCTGAAAGTTTCATGAAAATCCATCGAGCCGTTTTTGAGAAATCGCGTGCACAAAATCGGTAAGAAAAAAAAGAATAATAAAAGTGGAAAAGAAACCTAAGAATAACAAGAAGGTCTTCCGCTGAAGACGGAAGACCTTAATTACATGACAACATAATGTCTTTTTATTCCCCTTTCCAATTAAAACCGTAAATGATGCATTAGGTGTTAAATGTATCCATATAAATACCTCAGCATTTTTACACTGATCACACTCTTCTTGAAAAACTGCTTTTCTCAAGAATATTTCTTTCTGGAAGGAAAGTATAACATTATTTAATACAGTAGCACAGGGAGTTTTAATGCTCGGAGGAAAAATATTTATAAGTTATTTACCGTCCAGTCGTGTCCTTTTATCACATCTATGACAGCTTTCAGGCATTTCACAGGAGTTCTTGATTTGCAGCAAGGGCAATCGCAGACAATCAAATCCTCAATACAGTTCCACTGCATGAACGGTTCACTCACAACATCAGAACAACTTAACTTTTCTTCAAAACAATTGATGCAAAATGCATGCAGAAAGGAACAAGATTTGTTCCTTAACCTAATCTAAAAATAAAAATTGAATACTTTCAAAGTATTATTTTAAAAAGCGAATCACAGGTAGCAATAGAAATGGAGAAAATTCGAAGTTTATTCCTACTAAACATTTCCGTTTATTTAATATCTGATTGGTTCTTTATAATTTTTATCAAATATTCATTGTTCAGCATTTGTATCCAGAAGCCACACTATACACCGCATATTCTTAATTGAAAATTAATTTTGCGATGTTGCTTTCAACAGATGATTAAAAACACGTCATATGGAGAAATGATGTTCATCTTATTCATGAGATTGCTCCCACGTGATTTACTTCTCATTAATATTCATATAATATTTTTTAAAATTATTTGTACTAAAACCAGCAAGCACAGTTTGTTTTGGTTTTCTTAAGCCTCTGTCATAGTTATTTGGGCAAAATGTTGTGTTATTAACAATTGACAACCCATGACATCATCTTTTTCGGTATAAGTAGGTCACACAGATGCAAGAAATTCGCACAATTTTTCAAATTCATTGCATGTTTAAAGGCATGAAAAAATACATTAACTATCATTTCTAGCGAAATACTATAAATCGTATAAGTTCAACTGTTACTAAAATTATTTTGTTTTACATAATTATACAACACAATGAATGAAAGAATTTAAATGGCAATTTTGACCCATTGTAAGCTTAGGAATCAAGATTTAAAGGAATTTTGAATAAACAGTACATAATATAAAAAGCTGCTTTTTTATCAGTTTGATTTTAACATCCCCCCGCTGTTTAGAATATCTAACGTTTGACTTTACTGGAGTATATTCTATTGTCAAATGTTGACCTACTATTATGTCCCTAATTTACCCAAAAGCGTGTAATGAACAAACCTGGTTTAGAAATTTGTGGTTTTAGTAGTTTTGAAATAAAAAAAAACAAGATGTGTTTGTGAAACACCAAAGTCCTCGTATGGCAGCTTATGGTGAAGATGAGAGTCAAACTCAAAAGTCAAGGTCAAACGGTTAAAATTGTTGGTATTAAGAGGAAGGAGATTTTCGGCAGGAATACTCTGTGAAATCAGAAACCCTTAGTGCTAATTGTTCAAAAGTGGTTTCAAACTCTAGGGTTAAGGTCAAAAGGTTTAAAAAAATATCTTTACCAATCGAAAGGTCTTGTCAAAATGAATATACCTCTGAGTATGAAATATCTCGCACCAGCGGTTCGATAGTTATGGCCAGGGGTTATTTTTAAGTGAGGTAAACTCCAAGGTCAAGAAGTCAAATTTGGTTTTTAGAAAAAAAATTCTTTTCCAAGGAATACACCTGTGAAATATGCGAGCGATAACCCTAGCAAGTCAAAATCTATGAGCAAGGTTAAAATTTTTATTTATATTTAGAGGAACAGATACACAGACTAGCAGACAGCTAGACGAACAGACTGACGAACAGGACAAAAACTATATTACATCAAATCTTTGTTTACTGGGTGTTGCAACCACTATTGAAATAACGACCACTATTTGAAATAATTTTATCAATAGTGGTTGTAGAGTGCCTTTCAATAGCAAACATAGCTAGTAAACAATATTGAAATACAACCACTATTGAAATAATTATATCAATAGTGGTTGAGAGTGCATTTCAATAACAAATATAGTAAGTGACCACTATTGAAATACAATCACTATTGAAATAATTATTTCAATAGTGGTTGAGCTGCATTTCAATAACAAACAGAGATCGCAACCACTATTGAAATACGACTACTTTTGAAATAATTATGTCGATAGTGGGTGAGATTCATTTCAATAACAAACATAGGTTGCAACCACTATTGAAATAATGTTCATTTTTGAAATAAAGATTTCAATATGGATAAAATTATTGATTTCAACAGCTCGTTTTTCAGTAGTGATTGAAACCTATGGTAATTATAAGAGAAATGCACACTCTCACCCACTATTGAAATAATTATTTCAATAGTGGTCGTATTTCAATAGTGGTTACTATTTATGTTTGTTATTGAAATACACCCTCACCCACTATTGAAATAATTGTTTTAATAGTAGTCGTACTTCAGTAGTGGTTATTACCTATGTTTGTTATTGAAATGCACTCTAAACCACTATTGATACAATTATTTCAATAGTGGTCGTATTTCAATAGTGGTTACTAAATATTTTGCTTTGAACTGCACTCTTAACCACTATTG